ACTTTGTGGACTTCTCTTTATTTGCCATGAAGTTTACTCTAGAATAATCTTGCATGATAAATATCTTACCTGATATAATTGGAGAATCTTTCAAGTATGCATTGATATTTTCAACAATCTGGTTGCTCAATTCCTATAAAGGTTGAATATGAGTTTCAAGCTTTAGGGGTATGTCCCACCTAGCTAGCAAATAACCAAAAATAATGACATATTGAATGTGGTTGGGTTGATTTGTAGAATAATATAGGAGATGATTAGAAGTTAATATAAACAATCAGAAACCAAAGCATTTTTAGATAGTGGGAAACAAATAGAATCACAGCAAAGTTACCTTTGTATCTAAAAAATGATGGTCTCTTAGTTGTCATGTTGTTGTTAGTGTGAGTACTACTAGTAACACCATGGATGTTTCTGAAAAGCTTCTCATTGCACATCAATCCATCAGTGAAAGAAATAATATTTTAAGACACCCAACGATATAGAAACAACCCCTCATCACTCTTAATAGGTTGTATAGGTCACCTAATTCATGCGAGTCACTAAAAGTCTTCTCCCTTCAGACCACCATATCAATAATATTATTCTATGTTGCATATTACAAGTGAATATAGTGAATATATACATAGTTATATAGCTCTCTTTAGGAGTAGCACATGATGAGTGTCTCTACTTGTATCGAGTGGAATTTACCTCATCCAACATCTCACACCATATCACTTATCATCATTCCATAGAATTATTTCAATCCTAATCCAGTCTTTATCTTTGTCGTAAGATGCATCGCTCTCTGTCTTATGTAGATAACTATCACATGGTGGATATCTAAGACCATTATCATATAGTGTAGTAGAGGTATCCATAGTCACTAATCCTAATAATTATGATGACATTCTCATCACATAGATATAATCCAAAAATGGTCTTCTATTCAATCTAGGCATACACTTCATATCCATAATTTTTATCAAGTCATATGAGGCGAAATAGATTCCTTTATCAGCTTTGCATCCGTGTGCCCAATGAAGTCCCTCGGATCGCTCATCTTGAACAGAGAAAGGAGAGAGCAATCCTATAACATTCAGAGCAAAGAGTGGAAAATGTTTTTAAAACAAGGAATGACGTTACGTTGTTCAACTGGTGACATAAAATCCAGTATCTCTTGTGAAGGTTGTGAGAGTTGATAATGAATTCTTGAATCTAGAAGTAGAGAAGCCTAGGAATAGTAATAGAGCAACGACCATATCTTCTAATACCAAATGGCATATGATGCACATAACAATGTCACATATGTGAAATTAGAAAGAATAAGCCACACATAATAACCTTACATGTGAAAAGTTAGAAGAAATAAACCGAATCAATTCAGAGGTAAATACTTAGATATATTATAATAAAGAAGAGATACATTCAAATAAACACTTAGATCACGTGTACCCAAAATTTAAATTTTGAAAGGTACTAGGTATGTTTAATGAGAAGGGTAAGTTAGGCATATCTATTAACTTTTGTAAACACAAGCAAGTAGAAATAGTGATTAACTTCTAGTACAATTATTAATTGTGCTAGTGACTGCACCTCACTCATAAATTTTTTTCATCATGGCTTTTGTCATTATTCACATCCAAGATTGAATTAAACGCATAATAAATACTAAGACACCTTAAGGGTGATTTAATGTTTATACATATAAAAAGACGAAAAAATACACCAAAATAAGGATTCATTGTTATTATATTTGTAGACCAACATCTAACAGTGGAAGACTATTAGAAGTGACAAATTTAACATGTTGTATTTACACTAAAATAAGTCTATTAGAAGTGACAAATTTAACATGTTGTATTTACACTAAAATTAGTGCATAAACTATCATATAAAGAGTGAAGTATAGAGGATATACAAAATGCCTAAAATCAGTGTGTGGAATTTCCAATAACATGTTAATGTTAACTCTTTTAGTGGAGTGAACTATAGAGGATATACAAAATGACTAAAATTATCATGTGGAATTCCCAAGAACATGTTAAAGTTAACTCTCTCAGTGGAAGTTTGGTACTAATCGCGAGGATGGTGAAAGAAGGCATGTAAGGTAGTGCATCTAGTTGAGGCTGATGTCCGATGATGACATCGCTTGGCCGTGGTCAATAAGCGTGCTCTCCTTCATGATGATGTCGACCAACAATGAAGCGATGGGCGCCACCACCAATCGCTCACGAAGATCGTCGGCCACCCCCATAGAGCTCGCCGAGATAAGGAAGCCAACACTCAGTGTTTTTAGCCCCCTTGTGCTCCACGGTGAAGGCAGCGGAGCAGCACCCGGCTGTAGCAAGCATGCTGCACGGAGGACCGCAAAACCTGACGCTATGGTGCAGGGGATGACAGTCGTTCCCAAAATCGCTAGCCACATCATGCGTGGTCTCTGTCACCTTGCTAGTCAGCCATAAGTTGTGATGAGCTAGCCGTAAAGTAGTAGTAAATAGGTGTGTGAAAGAACTACTCCCTGCGCTATAAAATAAGTGTCATTTTTCAAGAAATCAAACATTTTTAATTTTAATCAAACATATACAAAAAATATTAATATTTACAGTACATAATTAGTATCATTAAATAGATCTTTGAATCTATAATATTACAAATATTTATATTTTTAATTTATAATGGGCTAAAAACATGACACCGTCCAAGAATTACATTATTCAGGCGAGTACTATAAATTAGCAGGGCAGACCTGTCCGCAGGTTAATGATGCGCAGTTCCAGATTGTCTGCTGTATTTTCAGTACCGCTGCTGTCAATTAAGGACTTAAGGTTGCAGCAGTAGCTACAGTACAGATTGGGCAGGCATGCCTTTGGAGCAAAGCAAAAAAAAAACATTTGAGAGAAGTGTCTTCAGAAGAGTCTAGTCGTACTAAATATATTTTGCCGTTTGGTTATATAAAAAAAACAGAGATGTTCCCTTTGTCTATAGGCCCCTAGTTAGCGGCATTTTATATATTTAGTCTGTTTGCTTGTTGGTTTCAGCCAGCGCTCATTAGTCAGCCAACAGTATTTTTCTTTTACAACAAACTAACATTAGTCGAGCTTATCAGCCCAGAACCCAACCAGCAAACAGGCTCATTCTTGAGAATCATTGAACACGTCATACATATCTTGGTCGATCTAATGTACAGAGGTACTCCAGATTTTGTGTCCTACTGTCTCAGAAAGAAAGAAAGAAAAAGGAAAAATAAAATAAAAATAGAATGCTTGGAAGACAATACAAAGCCGCGACAGCGAATCGGTGGGATGCGAACACATGAGGAGCATGTGTAAGGTTACTGTGCAGTTGACAAAATTGTAGGATTAGTATAACTCGGACGTCCGAGATTCCTAGGCTGCGTTGAAGGTTCGTTCAAGTATCTTATCTCGGGAGCCAATCAACGTGATTCCCTACGTTCCGTTCAGTCCGGATGGACCCTACACGGAACGACTTACCGAGTCGTTCTCATTCGTTCCCGCTCTGCGCTTTTTCATCCTCATCCTCACTCTGTCGCTCGCTCCTTCACCCCCACACCGGCCCGCCCGTGCTCCCTTCCTCCCTCCCTCCGTCCCTCCCTCCTCCATGAGCTCTATGCGACCCTGCGCTCCCTTGCAACCTAGCTCCCACTACCCCACCGGAGACGAGGACGACGTCGGTGGCTCTAACAGGTAGGTCAGTCCTTCTCTAGATCTGAGCCCTCATCCTCCTTCTCCTCCTCCTTTGGATCTGAGTCCTCGCCACCCACCTCCTCCTCCTCCTTTGAATCTGAGCGACACGGCGGTGACTAGGGTTCCGACGAGCGTTGGGGTCGTTCCCTCCTCCCCTCGGCGATCTCGGAGGTGATGGGCCAGGGCTGGAGCAGCCTGCACCTCAAAACCATCCCCTTATTATTCGTACGCCCTTGCTATTTCTCCGTGTTGCAATAGGTCTTTTGGGATGTTGTAACAAATGATTTTCGAATGTTGTAGTGGGATTTTTGGGTTGTTGCAACAAATGATTTTCGAATATTTCCATTTTCCATGTTTCATGGTTGACTTTGCGATGTTGCAGTGCTACTTATCAAGATGTTGCAGTACATCATTTTTGTTGTTACAGTACATATTTGTTTTCATTTTCCATGTTTCATGGTTGATTTTGCGATGTTGTAGTATTACTGTTTTAAATGTTGCAGTATATAATTTTTGATATTGTTGTACATAATTTTCGTTGTTGCAGTACATATTTTTCGATGTTGCAGTACATGTTTTTCTATTTTGCACTACATATTTTTACGATATTGCAGTATTTATATTCCGATGTTGCACTATATAGTTTTTTCATATGTTCGTGATGTTGCTCTTGAAGTGTTTCGGGCTCTGCAGGACGGGCGCGGTGGGGAGCAGAGGACAGGGCGGATTCCGTTCTATTCCGATACACAGGGGGCGGGCTGGTTCTATTCTATTTCGATACGCGGGGGTGCGTGCGGTCTGGGAAGAGGAGCGACGTTCGGACGCAGCCCTCGCGCCGGACGTGCGGGCGCTAGGATGCCCACGGTCGGAAGGAAAAACGATCACACTGGCCAGGAAAGCAGCTGCTGCACTGTATAGACGACGCATAGCAGTTGGACTTGCCGTGTAAAGCACCGCGACGTGGTTAACTCGGGACGGACGCAACGCAAAGCAAAGCGTCGGAATTGAACCGCAGCGACGAGTGAGGTCAGGCCAAGCGGCGGAAAGGACGATCAAACTCGCAGGGATCCGGCAGACGCGGTTGGTGACGTCCGGCCCGCGGCCCGCGGCACTCGGCAGACGCGGCGGGGAAGCAAGAACCAAGGAGGAAAAACCACCGGTTCCTCCGCGCCCGCGGTTTCAGTTGCTTCCTTGCTCGCGGAAGGCACAACAGCAGAGAGAGAAGCCTCCTCCGTTCCGAAGCAACCGCTGTCCTCTCGCCTTCACCAAACCAAATCCCCCACACCACACCACAACAACCACTCTAGCCCGCCGATGGAGGTGGATCCGGCGGCGGACGAGAGGAGGAAGAACAAGGGGGGGCTGGAGTGGGAGCTGGAGCGCCACTACGACGACTTGGAGCGGGAGATGATGCTGATGGCCGCCGACCGGCCGCACAAGCAGCAGCGGCGGCACCGGCCCGATCTGCTCCAGAACTGCGACCTGCCCCCACCGGCCAAGCTCTTCGGCCCCGTCCCGACTCTGCACAGGTAACACACCGTCTCGAAATCCTTTCTCGCCCGTCGGGATTGCAATTGCATTGCTCCACCTCAATCCGACCTTTCTGCTGCGCCCGCCCGCCCGCCCGCCCGTGTTTCGCTTTCGGTGTTTGATTGGATTGAATGAATTCATTCAAAAGGCTGGAGACTGCCGCCGCCGCCGCCGCCAAGGACCACAAGGGCGACGTCGCCGACGAAGACCTGCTGCGGGCGCTGCGCCTTTCGCAGTCGCGCGCGCGGGAGGCGGAGGACCATCTGTCAGCCGCGGGCGCCACCAACGTTGACCTCGCGGCGCTGCTCGTGCGGGACTCCGTCGCGCTGTCCGCGCACCGCCGCTGGGTCATGATGCTGGAGGCCGAGAACTCCCTGCTCCGAGGAAGACGAGGAGATGCGGATGCGGGCCCGGAACCGGAACCGGACCCGGACCACGGCGCCGGCGGGGTGGCCGCATGGTGGGTCGCGCTCGCCGTCTGCGTCGGCGTCGCCGGCGTCGGCCTCGCGCTCGGCAGGTTCCTTTGCTGAACTGTCAACAGCACGTCTCCCAGGTCATGGATGGATGGGTTTTGTAAAGAAAGCGGAAACCGCGAGTCATCCTCATCCCAATTCCCACCACATAACACTTGATCGTCCTTCTCATCACGTCACATTCATGTACTAGTTTCAATAGGAAAATGGAAATGTTACTTACAGCTTGGGTAAAGCTTTTTTGGCATGACTCATCTAAAACAGCTTTATTGGTGAAGTCAAAGCCGATAAAACTAAAAAAAACTAACTTTTTTCGGCTTCTAGTTTATTTTAACCCTGTCATATAAAAACGACTTCATGCTATAGTGTCTCGATTTACGTAAAATAGATGAAGCTAAAATCGGCATAAGCCGTGCTAAAGAGGCCCTAAATATATGATATGATTACTCATTAGCATTCTCTTTGCTGCTGTAAAGTGTAAATCCATGACCCGACGATGAGAAAAGGAAAGCATCAGCGGTGAGCGGCAAAGAAAAGAAGCGAGCCACCGTCGTGTGCTGCCCCTCCCTGCAATTCTGTAAATTCTGTGCTACAGTAGTAGGATTCGACTCGAAGCATTGACGTATCCATCCCGGCAAGCTTTCGGCTTTCCGTGGAAATACTTATATTCCAGGATACAACTACTGTAGGCCTAGCATTTGAAGTAGGTCAGTAGGAGTAGCACTAAGTTAAGATGTAGATCAGATTGATCCCACTCCAGCAAATTGTGAGGTCAAAATGGGGGCCAGAATTGGAGCAACTGTGGCTAAGTACTACCTAGCTACTGAAAAGCCTCTACAACCACCACTGTTTATTGGCTTGTCCGTATTCATGCTACGTGAGTTTAGTCACCATCCAAATTTGAGGAACGGATTAATTACATAACTATATTCTATAGCAGATGAGGAGCAGTCGTGGATCTAAGACAGGAATAGTATGATAGAACACATACTAAGTTAAATGGGATGCTTCAATTGTCGTAATTGAGAATAGTATGATATATACTAAGACAGGAATGGATGAAGAACATATTAAACCCCAACATGAATAGGTAATCTCGTGCATAGCTAGTCATTCACAAAGCATATCAGATGATCTATGTATCAATTGTCCACTAATATTTCTGCCAATGCAAAATCAAGCATGCTGAGTTGAATTTTACAACTCAAAACCCATAGAGTTGCAAACAAATTAAGCAGCATTTTCCATCTTTAACTCAAACACATTCAGACATAAGAAATCAACTGCGTGTATTCTCTGATTCAGGTCTGGAGTTTCATTTACCCATACTGAACTACAGTTTTACGTTTTATCAGAGAGTTTAAGATGGGATATTTTGGCGCACCTTTCCAGGATTGAAGTTTGCAGCTGCAATTGGAGCTGCGGGTACAGTGAATATCACCAGGCACAGGCCGCCGAGCCGGAGGAAGAAGGATCCTAGGGTCTTTGCTCGAAGGGGACTTGGATCTCCAGCCCGAGGTCCCAACTCGGCCCGCCGAAGACGAAGCCGCTGCGGCTGCCCTCCGCCTCCTCCTGCGCCCTACGCCGACGCAGCCTCCTCCTGCGTCGTCTACACCATCCTCACCCCCTGACCTAACCAAATCAGCGCCATAAGAAACAAAGTACGCCAACCCAACCCAATGTCGGGCAAAACGAATCAGTGCAAGGAGCATCTCTTACCTGCGTCTTGCTCGCGAATCGCTACACTGGCTGCTGGAGAGTCGAGGGCGGGAGAGACGGCGGCGCACGCGATAGGGCTGCGGGAGAGAGGCGGCTGCGGGGCTGTGGGAGTTTGCACGATAGGGTTACAGACAGGAGAGGGAGGAGGGATGCGGGGTTGATTTCGAAATAATCTGAGGTGCTTTTTGCAAAATATTCTGAAAGGGCCTCTGAAGCGCAGGTTGATTTACGAAAAGTTTAAGGGGTTTTTCATAAAATGACCGCGGATCGCCCGATCTGGCCCGTCCGCGCGCCCGATCGAACGGCTACGAAAAGCCGGTGACGTGGCACGCTGTCTGGCCGCGGTTTGGGCGCAGGTTTCATATAGAAAGATGAGAGGGAAAAGGAGAGGGAGAAAATCTCATGGTCGGGATAGGTCTATTGGTCTTATTTCAATGTGCATGTATTTATGGATTGGAGTGAAATTAAATTAATTTTTATTTTATTCCACTTCAATATATATAAATTGAAATATATATGCATGCATTAAACAAGACCTTAGGCTGTCGACCGGAGTACACAACCATCTGAATTTGATGCCTGCCTTGAGGTTCCGGCGATTCTGTGGTAATTTTGGGTCACTTTCGAGTTTCGAATGCTTAGGGTGTGTTTAGTTACTCTAAAATTTAAATTTTGGCACTATAAAAAAAGAAGATTCTTTGTCACATCAAATTTACAGTATATATATGGAGTACTAAATGTTGACGAAATCAAAAACTAATTACACAATTTAGTTGTACTTTGCGAGATGAACGTTTTGAGCCTAATTAGTCAACGATTGGACAATTATTACCAAATACAAACAAAATGCTACAGTACACTAAGTGCATTATAGTGATTTTGCCACTGCCGATTCCGGCAACTAAACGAGACCTTATTTGATCCCACTACAGGAATTGTCACGCAATGACGTACGATGACTACGACTTTTCTCTGTACCTGTACGGTGCATAGTACTGACGCATCTGGGGTCCATTAGGTCCCAATCCTTTCATGGTGCTATAAGCTCAACATTTTTAATTTAACATTAAACATTTATAATATCAATAAGTATTATTATATTATTTATGAAATATACTTTTTATAATGTAAAACTTTGAAATCATAATCAAACTCTTTTTTAAATTTAACTAAGTTTATACAAAATATTATTAATATAAGCTTTTGGTGACCTTGTTCAAAACACCTTCAAGTTGGCTTAGGGCTCTGTTTGGCTGGCTAAAAAGCCGCTGACATTGATTTGTTATGAAAAAAAATATATTATTATTTTATTGAAACGTTACGACAGGTAGCAGCTTCCTAGCTCCGCTGGTCACCGGAAGAATAGGTCCACGTCCATGCAATTAAACCTTACCGTGTACGGTACCTCCACTTCGGTGGGCACTGGAGGTTTCCAGTGTGTAAAAGCAATGTTGAGAGCTCCTCACTTTATTCCTCACAGATCTTTTTCAAATTGGCTAACTAGGTGTGGCAACGGAGCGGGTCAGGGCAAGGTAGATCATCAACGCATCCTCGAACCTGGGTCCCTGAAACCCGTCAGGTTAGGAGCAGTAGGTTCGTCTACTCGGCACATGTCGTGTGACTCCACTAGAGCAGCAAGCTAGCCAGACAGGGATCAGAAAGGGGAGGACAACAAGGAGCGCTGGGCGTTGAGCAGACGAGCAGGGTGCCGAACGCACGGAAGAATGGCAACGGAGAAAGAAGCTACGCGTACGTTATTGATAAAGTGTAATTTGTATTTGAGTTTTGAATGGCTTTGATGAGGTTTTCCCGCGCTGCCTGAGTCCACGGTCCGCCCACGACGTCGCCCACGTCATGCGCGCACTCGGCAGACGCGCCTCGAGCGCTGGCAGTTTCAGAGATCAACACGATTCAGATTGTTGGCTCCATTGTTCACTCTTTCATGGTATCAGCTGCTTAGGTCCTTTCCACTGTGCCGCCCTCCCCGCAACCGCCGCCGTTGCGCCCGCGCCGCTGGCGTGCCGCTTTCCGCTGCTCCTCCCTGCGACGCCATGGACACTAATCCTCTGTTCGACGCCGATCTCTTTAATGGCGACTCCTCTTCCTCCACTCCGTCTGTCAATCGCGTCTCCTTCACCGAGATCGTCGTCCAGCCTCCCTCCGCGACCGTGCTCTAGACAGTGAACATCAAGAACCACGTTCCCGTCGAGCTCGACATCACTGAGTCGAACTACACCGAGTGGCGATGCTTCTTCGACGCCTTCGTCGGCAAGTTCGGCATCGGCTCCCACCTTACTTCGTCACCCACCGCCACCAACTGCCGTGATCCAGACTGGGTCATGGTCGACCAGGGCATCCTGAGCTGGTTGTACAACACCGTGTCCAAGGACGTTCGCGCTATCGTGCGCGTTCCCAAGGCGACGGCGTACACAATCTGGCAGGCGATCCACGACCAGTTCAGGGACAACAAGCTTCATCTAGCGGTTTACCTTGAGGCCGAGTTCCGCAGCTTGGTCAAGGGTGATATGGACATCACGACATACACCGGCCAACTCAAAGGCCTCGCCGATGCTCTGTGCGACGTCGGGCAGCCGGTGCGTGAGACATCCCAGGTGCTGACCATGCTCCGTGGCCTCTCCCCCAAGTACCGGCACACCGTTCCCGTGATCACCGCCAAGAACCCTCCGCATACCTTTCTGTCCGCGCGTTCCTATCTACTGCTGGAGGAGCAGTAAGATAAGGAACACGCCAAATCCATCGCTCAGCACGCCCTCCTCGTCGCTGACAGTACCCGTCCTCCTGTTGCTCCTGCTACGAGCGGTTCCAGCGCCACTGGTGCCTCTCGGTCCAGCCAACCGACCGTGGGCATCACCACGCGCACCAACAACCATGGCTACAAGAAGCGTCGCAGTCGCAGCAACAACCTCCCTAGTAGCAATGGCGGCTACAGCGGTAACACCAGCGGTGGCGGTTCTTCCTCCACCGGCGGATCGGCTGGCAACTGCTCGCCCTCCTCCCCATGGCAATCGGGCTTCAACCCAAGGACCGGCATGGTTTAGGTGTCGGATATCAGTATTAGGGATACTTGGAAGAAGGAAGCTGACGGCCGTGAACGCTAACTCGCCCGGATGGTAAAAAGCGTATTTTGGTCTCGCCCGACCCCTCGGGCGCGGGTTCCTTCACGCCTGACCCTGACGGCGTGGGCTCCGTCTCGCCAGACCCCTCGGGCGCAGGCTCCGTCACGTCTGACCCTGAGGGCGTGAGCTCTGTCTCGCCCGACCCCTCGGGCATGGACTTCACCTCGCCAGACCCCTCGAAGGTGGATTCCACCTTGCCCG